ATTAGTAGTTTTTGACTAAAAATTAGTAGCTTTCAACTGAAAATGAGTCAAAACGAACATTAATTCATTTCATTTCTTTATTATTACATATTATAATTATTAACAATTTGAAATTGACGATAATAATGATAATGACAAATTTATGACCATAATAATGATAAACGATGAATAATGATAAATTCTAGAAATTGAAATAAAACAATATTCTGTAATTGTAAATCAAAATTCCCATTTAGATATATATATATAAAACTCGGAATAATAATATTCTCGTATAATTCTTTTATAGATTATAAATTTTCTCAAAGTTCAGAGGTTCTAGAAGAGATGGCGTTAAGGTTATATAGTTTGCATTACATTCCTCAGAAGTTTCAGGATACTGTGTGTGTCCTAGGACGAAGGACAAAGCATTCTATATCTTTGTATAACAGAGGGGCATTTACATGTATATAACACTGTGACAGTTTATCCTTGGTAAAACTAACAATGTCATTTTTATGTTACGAACATTCAGAGAAAGTGCTTGACTCACAAATAGAATTTTACTACCTTGACAATATAATTTATTACCCTCCGCGAATAAAATTCAATTCCCCCGCGCGCGCTCGCCCGCTCATATAAAAGCTACACTATGCGAATTAGTTGAATCAAAAATAAATCATTTCTACGTGAGATTTTCCTTTTTTCTACCGCTTTCCCCCCCACTCTCCAAAAGATTCTTGATATTTTGCAAAAATTTCGTTATATAATTTCTTCATTCTCATTCTCTTATAAATTTTTAAAGAAAAATATTATTTTAATGTTATAAATTAGTCTACATTTTTTATTAGTTACTATAAAATTTATTGAAAATAATAAAAATATTATAATAATATTTATAGTATTAACAACTTTATTAGTTTTTGTAAATAATTACAATTTTTTTAAATTTTTAATTTGATATCCTTTGAAAAACTGTGAGTTTAAAATATCCAAATTCTGAGTTCGAACAACGTTTAAAAATGCAAAGCGCTCAAAAATGTCAAGTGCATCAAAATCTCATCTCTTATTTTGTATACCTTTCAAAAAAATGTCGAACTCTTTTTTTAATTTCAAAAAGGTAACAATTTTTTTTGGTCCCCTTTAAAAGTTTAAACGCTTTCGAAGTTCAAGAGCATTTAAATAAAGACTCTTCTCTCCTCATCATCAATTCTAAATTAAAAAGAAATGAGTTTCGACTTGAAAATCAATTTTCAAAAGTGTTTGAACTCACAGTCTTTAATTTGAAATCACACATTAATAAACTTCTTTCTTTTTCTGACGTGTATATGCATATATACACATACAATTTGAGAAATAATACTTGAAACACGTCGACGGAAATCAAATATTTAATTTTTACCGTGTGTACCTTGAGAGTTTTTTACGAGATGGTCAACTTAAATATTTCAAACTTTACACACACACACATACATACATACAAGAGCGAGAGCGAGTCCTTTTCGATTTATCTTTTTCTCCACACCGTAATATATTTAGCAAGAATTGATCCTCCGCTCGAATAGTTGGAACGCGCGAAACCGAAAAGTAATTTAGCACGAAGGAATGTAAATGAGGGATATCAAACACTTTCCTGGTAACGAGGCGTATATGTATAAATGTATATGTATATATGCGCGAAAATAATATCTATTTTTATCGCTCGACACTAAACTCAGGGGGGAGATTATCAGTTACAATTAATGAGTAACAGGTGATTAAAAATAATGATTGATGGAGTTGTTTCTCTCTACATTACAGAGAATAAAAGGGTTTTTCGTTAATTTGTTATATTGATTGAGGTCCACATGTTCGATGAAGATATCGACTTGTTTTGGATTTATTATCATATAATATATGGGTCATATTTTTCTTTCTAAAAAACATGTGTGCTACTCTCTTTGATTTATTGTTTATAATTAGCATATTATGTACAATTAATTATAATTTGAGTCAAGTCTTGTCTCGTCGGCGCTTTATAATAAATTGTTAAAATGTATTTGAATATTTATTTCAATAAATATTTTTTTATTTATATGCTAACAACAATAACAACAACCTTTAATAATAATAATTGTAATAATGATAATAATAATAATAATAAATATTCTATATCAATAATGAATATAATTATTATCAACAGTAGAAAATAATACACGCGGAACGCGGTGTTCCATTTATTATTACTTTGTAAATTAAAAAATTTTACATGTTCAAGAATAAGCATCAATTTTTGAATGATTACAAATTAAAAATTTAAAGAATTCCCTTATTAAGTACATAATATTAATTATAAATTTAATAAAAATTTCTGCAAGAATTTCAATATTCTCATAAATAATAAAATTCTTTACAGCAATTCAATTATTTTCAATAAAATTTTAATAAAGTTTATTAAAAGAATATAATTATTTTTAAAAATATTAATTTTAGATTATTTTCCAGAATATTAATATAAATTCAATTTATTTCAATAATTTTGATAAAATTTTTTTTAAAAAATAATGATTTTTAATAAAATTCCTTCAAAAAATTGAATTATTTTCGAAAACTCAAATAAAATTCTTTGAAACAATTCAATTATTTTTATGAATTGTAAAATCATGCGCAAGAATTCAATTTTTTCAAATACAATTTTAATAAAATTTCTCGAAAGAATACAATTTAATTTGATATCCTTAGAAAAACTGTGAAACAGGCGACGATTTTTTTTTTTTTTGAAAACGCAGATGTTCAAATGCCCTCGAACTTTGAAACGTTTAATACTTAAAAAATAAAAATTTGTAGGCACTTAAACTTTGCAGCGTATAAAGTGAGAGCATTAATTTTTAACTGTACTCAAACTTTGTAGCGTTTAAAGCGCCGCGCCGATGTTCAATTGCACTTTAACTTTCGAGCGTTTAATATAGAAAATCCATAATTTGAATGCATTCAAACTTTTCAGCGTTTAGTACTAAAAATAGATAATTTGGGTGCATTAAAACTTTGTAGCGTTTAAAGCATCGATATTCAAATGCATTTCGCAACTTTAGAGCGTTTAATACAAAAAACCAATGTTTTCAACCAAACTTTGCAGCATTTTATAGTACAAATAAAAAATTTGGATGCTTTAAACACTACAAAGTTTAACATTGTAACGTTTAAAGCACCAATGTTCAAATGCACTTGAACTTAGGAAAGTTTAATACAGAAAATTGAAATTTGATTGCACGTTTGCAATGTTTAGAACTGAAAATAAAAAATTTAGAAGAACTTAAACTTTAGAGCGTTTCATAGTAATAACCCAAAATAGAATTCATGGAAACTTTGTAACGTTTCATACCGAAAAATTAAACATTTTATGCACTTATACTTTGAAGTGTTAAAAGCGCTTATGTTCAAATACACATGAACTTTAGAGCGTTTAATACAGAAAATGTTAAGTTTAAGACACCCGAACTTTGCAGCGTTTAGTAATAAAAATAAAAAAAATTTGATACACTTAAAGTATCCGTTACGTTTAAAATGCCGTTTTTCAAAAAATACTTGAAGTCTGACCCATTAAATACCAAAAATAAAAATTTTTTCTGTACTTTAAAGCTGAAACGTTTAAAGTTACGGATTTTAATTATTATTACAGAACACTTTTTAGACTTGGAAAAACATCTTTAAATAAAATTTGAATTGAAGTTTAAGTGGCATTTGGAATTAAGTTCAATGGAATTTCAACTAAAATTCAATTAAATCAAAATTAGTTTAAGTGCAAATTAAATTCAAGTTCAATTAAATCTGAATTCAAATTCAATAATAAAATCTGAAATTATTAAGTTTTATAAAATCTGCATTCAGTTGGAAAATTTAAATTCAGTAAAATCTGAATTTGAGTTCAATAAGATTTTAACTGCAGTTTAATAAATTTTAATTCAAATACAATTTAAAAGTTCAAAAATAATTTAAATTAAAGTTCAAGTACAATTTGAATTCAAGTTAAGCTATACAATTTAAACTTAAGTTTCATGCAATCAGAATTGATGTTTAATAATATCGGAATGTAAGTTTTATGAAATCTGTATTTAAGTTCAAATAAAATCTAAATGAAAGGCAATTCGAATATAAGTTCAAATGGAATTTTAATTTAAGTTAAGATGAATTTTAAATTGCAGTATTTCTGGTACAACTTAAGTTCATTAACATTTAAACAATAAATTCATTAAAACCTGAATTTTACTTCAAGTAAAATTTGAATTTAAGTTTAATGGGCTTGAAATTAAAATTCAATTAACTTTGAATTAAAGCTCATTGAAATCTGAATTTAAGTTCAAGAAAACCAAAAATAATATAATCTTCATCGATTTCTGAAGTTTAGCTAACTAAAAAAATTTATTTGGAATGGCGATAAGTTTCCCTATAAAAGCAAAAATTTTAACTGAAGCAACTAAAGAATTTTGCTTATAATTTATTTAGAATGGAGATAAGTTTCCCTATAAAAGCAAAAATTTTAACTGAAGGAACTAAAGAATTTTGCCTTTACAGTAAAATTTGTAAATTCCAAATTGAAGTTCACCAAATTCTGAATTTGATGAATTCTTAATTTCTTTAGAGAAAAATCTAAATAATTCAAGTAAATTCCAAACTTAAAATCAAACTGAAATTTAAATATACACATATCTCATTATAACAATAAATATGAATGAAAATATTCAAAGTTGGTCGATCCTAAACCTACATTAAGAGGGTTACACACACATATATAAAATAAGGACATGCAGGTCCGTGTTTAGTTCGCTGCTGTGACAGGCAGTATGCATTCTGGCATTCGTGGGCGTACTGGCCCGGCGACTAGTTCAGACTAGTTTGGAGTGGGAATCGACTCTCAGTTGCTGGTGGCGGGAGTATAATTTGTGACGGTAGGGATTTTGAAACGATGAGGGAGAGAGTCGGGAGAGAATACAAGCAACAAGGAAAAAGTAGGGAGTAGAGAGAGAGAGAGAGAGAATTGCTGCCAGTCATGCAGGGAGCATGACCGTCGGCTTGAATTCAAAACCCCAGCATCGCCGACTAGTCGAACGTTGAGTCAGTCTTTAGTCAGTTGCTCTCCGAAGCTCGTGGAGGAATGTTGTGTTCAACAACTTCTCCCTCCGATTAACAACACGCGCTTAAAAAATTACATTGGATTTTTTTTCTAAGTATCAACGATTAAAAGGATTTTTTTGGAAAAATATTTTCAGTGTTATTTCGTGTTTTATTTATTAAGTCAAAAAAAAAGGATATCAGTGATTGTGTCGTGTTTCAAAGAATATTCCCATATAGTGTTATTAACAAATTTTAGTGATTTGATTGGTGAGAGATTAGAATTAATATTCTAATTCAAAAAAGTGGAGAGTAGAAAAGAACGACAGTGACAATGTACGCGTGACAAGATTTTTTTTCTTTTTCGCTCGGCGATTTTTAAAAAAATTTCTTTTGGTTCAATGATCAAAAGATCACGTAAAAATGGATCTTGGACGAATAGTGTTGCTGGTGGTGATGTGTGTGGGAATTGTTGCTGGCCGCAGTATAAGCAGTTTGGAGGCGCCAAGAGGTTGCACTTGGCAGAAAGAGGGAAAAGAGCGAACACTCGTTTGTCGTTTGAGGACAATCGCTAATGCACCAGCTCTAGTTGGAAATCTTTCCTCGGCACAATCGGATTCCATTACGTCATTACAATTAGAATGCAATGAGGCATTGTTCTTTGAGAGTCAAATGAGTGATGAACCGCGAGGCTTTTTGGCTCCACTTTCACGTTTAGAGAAACTTCGTATGGAACATTGTAAAATACGCTATCTACCTGGAGGCGCATTTGCATCGAGTCACAAATTACGAATTCTCGAGATAAGAACGCATAATAGTGAATGGTCAGCGACAACACTTGATATTAATCGTGATGCATTACAGGGACTATTGGATCTCGAGAGGTTAGATCTTGCTGAAAATAATATATGGACATTACCACCCGAGTTGTTTTGTCCCACGCGAAACCTCGTCAGTTTAAATCTCACGAGCAACAAGTTACAGGATATACCATCGCTCGGCTTCTCCGATTGGGAATCATCGTGTCCGTTACGTTTGAAAACATTGGATTTAAGTCGAAATGACATCAGTGCCTTGCCTGACAATTCACTAAATAGTCTTCGCAATTTAACTGTATTGAAATTACAGAATAATAAAATTGCATCAGTTGGTGATAATGCATTAAGTGGAATGATAAATCTCAAATCATTGAATATGTCGAGTAATAATTTAGTTGCCCTACCGCCGGATTTATTCTCATGGACAAAGGACTTGAGGGAAATTGTGTTGAGCAATAATTCCCTCACTGTATTAGCACCGGGTCTATTGGAGAATTTGGAGCAACTACAGTCACTTGATTTGAGTAATAATAAATTGACAAGTCATTGGGTTAATCGTGACACTTTCTCCCGTCTTACGCATCTAGTCTTTCTTGATTTGTCCTACAATTCATTGACAAAGATTGACGTTCACGTTTTTAAGGGTTTGCGTAATCTTCAAGTACTGAAACTCGAGCATAATGTGATTGAAACACTAGCCAGTAAGTGTTTTTCATCGCTTGTTAATTTACGCTCATTGACATTGTCACACAATAAAATATTCACATTCGACGCATCGCATTCTGTGGGTCTCTCGAGTTTAGAACAATTATTCCTTGATGACAATCGAATAAGGGGAATTGAGGGACATGCTTTTAAAAATTTAAGCAAACTACAAGACTTGTCGTTGAGCGGAAATGCACTGTCGGATGTGCCGGAAGCAGTGAGAGAATTACAGTCGTTGAAGACCCTTGATCTCGGCAACAACCGCGTGTCTAGGATCGATAACGAGTCCTTTGTGGGATTAAATGAACTTTATGGATTACGTTTAGTGGACAATAAATTAGAGAACATTTCGCGTTCTGCATTCGCTTCATTACCATCCCTTCAGGTCTTAAATCTCGCGAGTAATATGATTCGTCACGTGGAGCCGGATGCGTTTGCCAAAAATACAGTGATGCGCGCTATTAGATTGGATAGTAACCAACTAACGGAAATTCGCGGTGTTTTCGCTGGACTCTCATCTTTAGTGTGGTTAAATATATCGGACAATAAATTACTTTGGTTTGATTACAGTGATGTGCCGTCGAGTTTGACATGGTTGGACATGCACACAAATCAGATAAATAAACTCGGCAATTATTATGCACGTCAGGATAATTTGCAAATAAAAATGTTGGACGCGAGTTTTAATTTGATTACAGAAATATCGGATATTAATGTGCCGAATAGTGTTGAGACGTTATTTTTGAATAATAATAAGATTCATAAAATTACGGCGGGTACGTTTTTGGAGAAGAGTAATTTGGATAAGGTCGTACTTTATGGTAATGAGATACAGCATTTGGAAGTTGGTGCACTTGAGTTGCAGATAATACCAGCAGATCGACAGGTGCCGTCGTTTTACATTGGAAATAATCCAATTTTGTGTGATTGTAGTATGGAGTGGTTGCCACGGATAAACGAAATGGCAAGATTACGACAGCATCCACGTGTGATGGATCTTGATTCTGTTACTTGTGAAATGGTTCACGTACGTGCATCACCACGGCGACCGTTATTGTCCCTGAAGTCAAAGGATTTTGTCTGCCGTTACGAGGCGCATTGCTTCGAATTGTGTCATTGTTGTGATTTCGATGCGTGTGATTGTGAAATGACATGTCCGGATAATTGCTCCTGTTATCACGATCACAGTTGGTCGAGTAACGTTGTCGATTGTTCGAATGCCGGTTATCGATTTGTGCCCGATAGAATACCGATGGACGCGACTGAAATTTATCTCGATGGAAATGATTTTGGTGATTTGGGTAATCACGTTTTCATTGGGAAACGTCATTTGGAGGTGTTGTATTTGAATAATAGTGGAATATCGTCGATTCATAATAAGACATTCAATGGTGTTGAGATGCTGAAAGTGTTGCATCTTGAGAGTAATGCTTTGCGTGAACTTAAGGGAAGTGAATTTAATCAGTTGGAACGTATGTCGGAGCTGTACTTGGACCATAATGCTATTGCGATGGTGGACAATGCGACTTTTAATAATATGAAGAATCTTGAATTGCTCAAGTTGGATAACAATAGAATTGTGGACTTTAGACCGTGGGATGCTTTAACTGACGCTGGACATGGAGCGGCGGTATCACTGGAGGGCAACACGTGGAGTTGCGATTGTGGCAACGCTGCACGATTGCGCAGATGGCTGGCGCTACATAAGGGCGATCCGGAGAAAATGTATTGTAAGGATGGTGCGGAGACGTTGGCGGAGGCATTGAGACGTTGTGGTGATCCATCTACAGAGGCGGTGACTCATGGGATTCAGGAGGGACCATTAGTTGGGGGGAATTTCGTACCCCTTTTGGCTGGTGCTCTAGTCATGGTGATTGCTGTTTGTCTTTTTGTTGCCCTGGCTTTTGCTTTCCGTCAGGACGTGAGACTTTGGGCACATGCAAGATATGGTCTGAGGTTGGGAAAAGTGGCGACACCACCCGAGGAGGAGAGGGACAGGCTCTATGACGGCTACTTCATCTACAGCGAGAGGGATGAGGATTTCGTGTCACGTTATCTGGCGGCTGAATTGGAACAATCGGGACTTGCTCTCTGTTTGCATTGGCGGGATTTACCGCCGTCGAGAACGCAGGAGACACTTCCGTCAGCGGCGGCAGCTGCTCGGCGAATTATCATCGCATTTTCGCCAGTATTTTTGACAAAGGAGTGGCAGAATATCGAATTCCGCACGGCTCTTCACACCGCATTGGAGAACATCCGACCGGCTTCGAGGCGGAGGAGGATCATCATTCTCCTGGCAACGGAAGCTCCACTGCGTGATCCGGAATTGCAACTACTCCTGCAGACTTGCACAGTGATTGTTTGGGGTGAGAAGAGGTTTTGGGAGAAGTTGCGATACGCAATGCCGGATTCAGCTGACAAGAGGCGGGAGAGCAAAAATGGAACGTCTGAAAGGAATCGCATCCCGGCTCGTTACACGGCCGCTCCTCTCGCTGCGGACGCGTGGACAAAACCGGTCAACAACCTTCTGGTACCGATTCATGCCCCAACACCAACACCCACCCAGTCGACGTACATGAGTTCTGCGTCTAGTAGAACCGAGGACGAGGACAGCGGTGCTGAACATCAGCATCACATCAACAGTGATTATGGCGCATTGCACGGTAGCAATGTTCAACGTCCACCCAGCCTCTCATCCCGAGGCAGTCATCTCTACAGCACCATTCCTGAACTTCCGGTACTCACGTCGCCCTCATTTGGTAATTCTTCAGTCCCAATGAATCCTCGTACTTATTTCGTCTAATTCCCCCTTTTTCTAAATTCTAATTTTTTCCAAATCTCAAAAAATTGAAAACAAACACTTGAAATTAATTCTAAATTAATTTCACAGTAGTTATAAACTTTCAATTAAATTGTAAATCTTAAATTATATAAATTATTAAAAGAAAAAATCGAGAATGTAAAATGGAATGTTAGCAAGAGTTTTTTTAAAACAATTTTTGTTTGCTTGATACAACCAAAGAAGGAGTTAAAGGTTTTTTTGTTCGTAAACTAAAAAAATATTCTCTTGGGTAAAATTTATTTTGTTATTTTCACAATTCTCGAGACAATAATGCGTTGGCCGTGTGTTTTCTTTCATTCTTTTTTTTTGGGGCGAAATTTTGGTTGTTTCACTCAAACGTAAATGCACACTTGACTGAATGAATTAATGTTCGCTCACAGAGGCTTTAGCAGTTTGTACAATGCATTATTGTTTCAACGCTACCGAGCGCGCGCACGCGGAGGACCGGAGAACAAAATGAGAATGTAATTTCCTCATTAATTTTCTTTCTCGAAAGTGGAATTGCTTTTCAACAAGATCTCTTTCTCTCTAGCCCTTCCACGAAACTTTGGATATATATACACATATAACTGAAAAGCTTTGAGTAAATTTTAGACTACGTGATATTGAAATCTTTTGTTTATAATTCGCTTTCTAAAAAAGGGGAAAAGATATCTTATTGAAAAGGAATTTTACCACAACTTTTGTCTTGGAAAATTGAAATCCGAAAAAAGGTTCTTCTTGAAAATAGGAAAATATTTTGCAAAAGGTTTAAAAAAAAAATTCCCCTAATGGTAAAAGAATTGCTTTTACCATTAGGGGAAAAGTTCAATTTGCAAAATAATTTTTGATTTACGAAAAAGGATTCATTCGCTAGAGATACGATTTTCGTATATGAGTATTTAATTATTGAACTGAAAACGATCTTCTAGCAAACAATCTTTTGATTAATGAAATTAATTCAGCATAGATTTAAAGATTTTTCGCCTTTCTCGTTTTTTCTGTTTCCTCTGCGGGGTAATAAACCACATTCGGTAAATATTGTGAGTCAAAAATTAATTCATTTGACTAAATCCAAAAAAAAGATAAATATATACAATTTTATTTTGCCGGTTTATTCAAAGAATTAATTTTCGACACCTATAAATTCTTTTTTCCCGAAAAAAAACATTTGAAATTCTACCTGGTTCGCATAAATTTCTAACCAATTTATAATGACATCATGTTACGGGAAATGATTACCAAATTTATAGTCTATAGATCGTAATGTGAGTGCTTTATTGTCTTAAATTTCTATTTTTAACGAGAAACTTTTTCTGTCAGGATGGTTGTAACTGTGATAAAAGAAAGAAAAAGGACGAGACTATTCAAGATTAGAATAAAAAAAAAAAAATGTTCGACGAAAAAAAAACAAGTCCATGTGTGAGTATGTATGAGTACGAGAATGAATGATAGAATTGCTTCACAAAATTATGTAGTCAAATATCGTGCCATTTTTTTTTTCTTCTTTTTTTTTGTCTTTTCTACGAAATCAATTCCCATTTTTGTCGGAGAGAAATTTCGACAATTTTTTTTTATTTTTCGAAGACATATATATGGGGAAAATTTTATGTGCAAATTTTTTTGAGAAATGCAATAAAGAGTCGATGTTAGTGTCTGACGATTGTATGAAAGAAAAACTTGGCTCAGTACTTGAATATAACTTTCTTTTTTTATTAATTTTTTTTTTTTATTCATTCTGATCAAGTATTTTTCAACCCGACTTTTGATCAGAATGAATTTAATTTTGGAAATTTTGATTAAAGCTCTTAAAATTTACTTATGAATTGTTTTTCGAAATTAAACAGTTAAAATTATGGAATTATTAAGAAACATCAGGTAATTGAGTCAGGTTTTTTTTTTAGCGAGAAAATAACAATAGGAAAAACTGTATTTAAAAGTTCTTATTTATTCGACGTAAAAATTTCAACAAAAAGAGTCATTATTTATTGAGTGCTTTTCTCGCTTGGATTTATTTGGAGTTTATTGACGTGAGCGCCGAGAAAAATAGTCATTACGATAGCATTTTCTTTTTTTTCCTTTCTCACACGCACATTAAATACCAAACTCACTTATTTGACAAAGAATTTTCTTCTCCTCGATAAGAATTTTATTTTTCTCTTGATTTCAAGTTGATTTTCAAACTCTCCCAACATGATCGTAAATTTTTCTCGGCGTACATTAGTAAAGAAAAGATCTGGGTTATAACCTTTACGGGTGAATGATCAAGTTTTGTAGTTATATAGTTTGATAACAAAATGAGCGAGGCATTAACAGTCGACAGTCATAGAAACTGTATAATATTGTGAGCGTGATTTCAAAGGTTGATAATGTGTCATTCGGCTGGTTCGAAATGCAACATTATTCCTAACGGGATTTAATAAACGTGGTTTATGGATTCCACAGTGCACACTTGACTATGTATATTATATAGTCTTTCTAAAAAATTTTGTGCACTACAGACGACAATTTTTTTTTCTAAATCCATTCAATGGAACGAACTCAGCTTATTGTAAATATAAAAATCCATATAATTTTATTGTGAATACTGTGAATAATTTGAAATTATTAATTTCGAATTGATCATCAATGACTGAAAAAAATAAGTGTCGGTGTAATATTTTTAACGAGACTAATATAATAATGTATCTGTAAATAAATAATTTTTAGTAGTGGCGTAAAATCGAGATTTGTGCGCGAGAGCAAAAAAAACACGTTGAGTCGTGAATAATCTCGTTCCTAAGACTTTTTTTTCCTCGACTGTCACATTGACAGCCGCTCGACGCTTATTAGAATATAAGAAATTCGTTGTAAATAATGTACATCTACTTTTTGTAAATAAAAAAATTGTAATGATAGAAAGGAAAAAAAATTACAATAATAGAAATATGCGTGAAAAGAAAACTAGCGCTTATAATATAAACTCGATGTAAATAATTTCTGGCTGTCTATTGTATTTTGGCTCTTTAGTCAGTTTTTTTTGTTGTAAAAAAAAGATAGCGAAAATAATCGCTATTTGGAAAGAAGTATAGGAGAAATAAAAAAAAAGGTTTTTTCATAAGAAAATTTGCACGTGTATGAATTTCATTATAACCCTTATACACCCAATTCTCGTTTATAAAATTATAATCACTTTGAAAGCAAGCAACGGTAATAGCTTCCCGACTTGCCCCGTGTAATTCTTTATTGAGCTATTGCGAAGCAAGACTTGCATTAGCGAACTCTTACCTCTCTTTTCATAGTTATAGGGCTAAGGAGAGAGCTATATATATTTATATATAACAGAGGTTCTCCTTCTCATCAAGTTTTACGGAAAGAAAATTACTTGGAACTTTAACGAAAAGCATAACTCTATATATACATATACTTTCTTCACTACAGTTATAAGGTCTTAAGTTCTTCTTCTCTTTTGCGCTTGTATATGTATAACCAAAGCGTTCGCGCGGCAAATTTCTTGTCGAGGCAACATTTTTGAACTCTCTCACACAATTTGCAACTCTTGTTATACGACAGGTAATAAACTTGGTGAATTCATTAACTCGGGATTCCGTACGCGAAGCTCTTTTCTATCGGTATTTTCCTCAGAGAGGAAAAAAAAGGAAATTTTTTTTTTATCAAACTTAAAGTTTTTCAAGAATTTAACTTTATTTTTTTGTATATTTAAATATTAGTGCACTTTTCTTGAAGGGGAGTTTTTTTTTGGTTCTTCATTGAAGTAACAAAATCGTTTAAAATAAACTGCGGTGAATTTTTTTTTTGACAAATTATTGCTAACGAGAGGCTCTTTAATCAATATACATACATAGAGGGTTTTTTTTCTGTTTCTAAATGAGTTGAAAGATCTATCAAACAGCCACTTACGAAGACGGAGAAGCAGAAGAAGAAGAAGAAGACGAAGGAGAAAAAGAAGAAGAGTTGATGATTTTGTTTTTACATTCATATTGGTTTTAAATTTTTATTACTTAGCAATTTTTATATACGGAGAGTTGAAAGAAAAAGGGAGAGAAGAATTATTTTTAAAAATGTAAACATATTTTCTTTTATGTTATCATTTATTTTATGATTTTACTAGCAATAATATTCGCGCGGCTAACTTCTTACTCACTTTTCTAAATAAAATTAGAAATTTTATAAATAATGAATAGCACAAATTTTTTCGTTTAAATTTTTTTTCATAAAAATAAAATATAAATTGGAATACAGTTTTAATATTATTATAACTATAATAATTATATATTCTGACAAAGGGAATTCAGGGAAAAGTCAGGAATTTTTATTAAAAGTACTAAAAAAAATTAAATTTTTAGAATTCATAAGAAAATTCTCAATTTTGGTGTCGGAATAATTCCATTATTTTCATAACTAATAAAACTCATCGCAAAATTTCAATTATTTTTAATACAATTTTAATCGAATTATTATCTTCACAGCAAAACAGAATTCTTCCAAAAATTCAATTATTTTTTTAAAAAGTCAAGAAAAATTTCAATTATTTTCAAAAATAATAAAATTCTTCACAAAAATTCAATTCTGTTCAAAAATTTTTTTAAATTCTAGTAAAAATTTCAATTATTTTTATAAAGAATAAAGTTTTTTTCTGAAATTCAATTATTTTCAAAAATTTTAATAAAATTCTTCGCCAAAATTCAATTATTTTAATAAAATTTTCATAAGAATTTAAATTATTTTCAAAAGTAATATAATTCTTCACAGAAATTCAATTATTTTTGAAAATTTTAATAAATTTCTTCGCCAAAATTCAACTATTTTCAAAAGTAATAAAATTCTTCACAGAAATTTAATTATGTTCAAAAATATTTTTAAATTCTCGTCAAAATTTCAATTATTTTAATAAAGAATAAAGTTCTTCTCTGAAATTCAATTATTTTCGAAAATTTTATTAACATTCTTCGCCAAAATTCAATTATTTTCAAATATTTAAATAAAATTTTTATAAAAATTTCAATTATTTTCAAAAGTAATAAAATTCTTCACAGAAATTCAATTATTTCTGAAAATTTTAATAAAATTCTTTTCTATTTCAATTTATTTTCAAAAATTTGAATAAAATTCTTGACAAAATTTCAATTATTTTTAAAAATAATAAAAATTTCACAGGAATTGAATTAAAATTTTTTTTAAAATCCTTTGCAATAATTCAATTATTTTTTTAAATAGAAAATTTTTTCAGGAATTAAATAAATTATTTTCAATTATTTTTAATACAATTTTAATCGAATTCCTCGAAAAATATAATTATTCTTAAAAGCTGTCTTAAAATTCTTTGAAATAAATTATTTATTTTTGTATTTAAGTAATGGAATTCAGAGTTTTCTAATAAAAATTGATTTCAAAATGAATTTTAGTTAAAATGGAAAAATAATATAATAATTAAATATTTATTTAGAAAAGAAGTTATTGATGTTTTTGAATAATTTTACAATTAAAGAAATTCGTAAATAAATGTAACTCAACATATTTTACAGTAAAATTTTTTCCTTTATTTTCTAAAAATTTATAAATTTTCAATTAAAATTTGTAATCGATAAATTGAAATTTATAAACATTTTTTTCTTTATTTTTAAAAAAACTTTGAATTTTATTAAAACAATGGTAATTAAGAAATAGAAATAATGCAAATTATTTCCTTATGATAATTGAGAATTTTCTTCAAAAATATTAAGAAACGGAATTATGTAATGCTTTTTTTCCCAAAAGAATGAGTTTGTGAACAATATTGTTGTTGAGAAATAAAAATTATGCATAAAATGGGAATATTTCCTATTTCATAACCATAATTTTTTAACAATGAAAAATTTTCTAATATTTTTGTTAAATAAAAAGAAGAAAAATTTGCATAATTTAGATAAGGCAAACAAAATTTGTCATTGAAAAAGCATACAATAAACAAAATGAGTATATTTTATATTTGTTACTCATAATTTTTTTAAATTTTCTAATTTTTAATTACAAATATTATTTTATTATAAATCATGAAAAAATACCTGCTTTTTTCGATTTGTCACACAATATTTTTCAAAGAAAAAAAGCAAAAGCATACACAAAAAATAACTTCAAAGTATGGACAAACAGAAAATATAAAAGAATACGAAGATTATTGTAGTTAATTAATAATTAATAATAAAGAGAATAAATAATATAGCATTAATAAAAATAATGACAATAATAGTAATGATAGTAATTATAATATAATATAATTATTTATTTTATTTATTATTTATTTTTTATTACATTATAATATAATTATAATAATTACAGTAGCAATAATAAAAGTAATAATAACACAAAAAGATATCAATAAAAAGAAGAAGAAGAAGAAGAACAGAATGAAGGGAAGAGAGGAATAAAGAAAGAGTTGGTAAAGATAAGAGGACAAAGAAATATTTGTAGTATGACTTGGAGCGCAGGGGATGGACAGGGTACATCATCTTAATGAATTTAATTAATTAAATTAATTATGAGGACTCTGATCAAAATTGTTTGGCGTGTAAGAAAAAGGTATTTCTTGACTACTCTTTTTTCTTTTTCTTTCTTATTTTTATTCTCTTTTTTGCTTTTTGCCATTCGAGTGGAATTTTAGTGGCTGGATCGTAACCGGCGCGGTTTGACAAACGTACTGATGGCAGTGAGGCAGCCAATTAAGCACAAGACGACAGATCCCTACAGTCGCTCAAGAACAATCATTATTAGCTCGAGAGAGAAGGAGAGCAAAACAGCATGCGAGGCAATAACTTCATTGCAATCTAAACGATCAAACTCTTTCTCTCAACGAGCAATTGATTCCCATACACTATGATTATCTCCAAAATTAGTCAATTGTGATCTAAATTAAACATTATTTTCTTCAAATATTTTTTTTCTTTTTCAATTTTTATTATTTTTATTGCTATTTTTATTATTATTGCTATTATTGCTATTATTATTAAATAGAAACAAAAATTATTTGATTCAAATAACTGATTACTTGATTAAGATAAATATTTACTTGAATCATAAGTAAGTTTTTTATCTGAGTCAATTAAAAAGTATTTGATCCAATAATTAATTAATTATGTTCAAAAATTTTTAAAAATTCTTGTCAAAATTTCAATAATTTTCATAAAGAATAAAGTTCTTCTCTAAAATTCAATTATTTTCAAAAATTTTCCTCAGTTTAATGATTTTTAATATCTATTATTTTCATAAAATATTAAAAATTCCACAGAAATTCAATTATTTTAAAATTTTTTATAAATTTCTTCGCAATATAATTCAATTATTTTTATAAATAATATAATTCTTTTTAGGAATTTAATTATTTTCATAAATAGTAAAACTCATCGCAGAATTTCAATTATTTTTAATACAATTTTAATCGAATTTCTCGAATAATGTAATTATTCCTAAGAATTTTATTAAAATTTTTCGAAACAATTCAATTATCTTCATAACAAAACAGAATTTTTCCAAAAATTCAATTATTTTTAGGTATTTTAATAATATTTTTTACAAAATTCAATTATTTCCATTAAATATAATAAAATTATTAGCAGAATTCAATTCTGTTCTAAAATTGTTTTTTAAAAGTGGTCAAGAATTCAATTTTTTTTATAAATAGCAAAATTCCTCGCTAAAATTCAATTATTTTCAAAAATTTTAGTAAAATATTTATAAAAATTTCAATTATTTTCAAAAGTAATAAAATTCTTCACAGGAATTCATTTTTGTTAAAATTTTTTTTAAAATTCTCTTCGAAACTTCAATTATTTTTATGAAGAATAAAATTCTTCTTTGAAATTCAATTATTTTCGAAAATTAAAATAAAATTCTTGTCAAAAGTTCAATTATTTTCAAAATTTTTCCTCAATTCAATGATTTTTAATATCTACTATTTTAATAAAATTTTTCAAAAGATTTCAATTGTTTAAAAAAATATTTTAATAAAATTCTTTACAAAAATTCAATTATTTTCAAAAGTAATAAAAATTCCACAGGAATTGAATTAAAAAAATTTTTTTTTTAAATTTCTTAACAGTAATTCAATTATTTTCTTAAATAGGAAATTT